GCGCTCTTGGAGGCGGGGGGGCTGGAAGGGCAATTGTGAAACCCTGACGCGGTGACGGGACGCGGCGTGGGTGGACGTTGTCATCTCCCAGTGGTTTCCAGAGTTGGGGCCCGCCAGACTCAACCATTCGGTAAAATCAGTGCTCTGATTCCTAGGAAGGTGAAGTTTTCAGCAGAAAAACGTGTACCACCTGTCATGTTGCCAGCTGTCCTCCATGGGTAGAGCTCATCCCGTACCGCTTACTGATACTGCTATGCCAGCAGCCCTCCTTCAGCAGGTTTCTGAAAAACACTGCTTGGTCGCTGCTGCTTAATGTCCGTATCATTCACTTTAGCTTTCCTTATTCTTTCAAACCTGTTACAGTCTTTCCTATCTTCAACTAGCTTGTCTTTCTTTCAGTGCAGATCTGCAGGTCCTGGAAGGGCAAGTAATCCAGCTGAGAAACCTTTTTTAAAAAAGTTCAGTTAAAGCAGGTCTGGAACTATTCAGCCTGGAGAAGAGAAGGCTCGGGGATCTTACTAACGTGTGTAAGTACCTGAAGAGAGGGTACAAAAAGGACAGAGGCAGGCTCTTTCCAGTGGTGCCCAGTGGCAGGACAAGAGGCAGTGGGCACACAGTGAAATACAGGAGGTTCCCCCTGAACATCAGGAAACACTTTTGCTCTGTGAGGGTGACCGAGCACTGCCCACCAGTCTCCCACCTTGGAGATACTCAAAAGCTGCTCGGACATGGTCCTGAACAACCAGGTGACCCTGCTTGAGCAGGGGGATTGGACCAGATGACCTCCAGAGGTCCCTTCCAACCTCAGCCATTCTGTGATTCCATGATCCGTTCCTTTTCGGTTTTGACTCCTTCAGCATAAGTTCTTATATACGCCTTTCTCCCCTGTACTGGAGTTACTTGCCTCAGCTGTACAGGCAAATGTTTGAGGTCTGTTGGAGAAGGATAGATTCTTTCCAGTGACAATTCAGTTCCTCTGACTTCAGTGTTCAAGTCTTTTCTTCTAATGATAGGGTCTACAAGCAGCAAACATTACAGTTGCCTCACTTTTGGGCTGCTCTGTGTGTGTGCATGCATGCGTGTATCTACACATATGCAGATACATGTTCTCCTTCTCTAGCAATAAAAATGAACTGGCTGTTCATTACCTTCCTCACTAGGCCATACCTGGCCTGTTGAGGACCTCCCCTTCACTTAATGCTTTGTGGGCATAGCATGTTGGATTCATCAAATGATCCCCAGAGTTGTCCAGCCCTTTGGAAAAGCCAACTACCATATCATAGGTTTGTTGGCTGAGAAATAGGTCAAGATCTGCGAGTGTATGTCATAGCTCACGTTAGAATTCAGAAGTATCTGACTCTGGCCTATGGTTGACATATCTTTTCCTTACCCACATTTGACTGAAAGGTTATGCAGCATTATTATCAAGACTCACTTCCCCCCCCCCCCCCCTCTTCCTGCCCCATCAATAGGAGAACTAATAAGTTGCTAATGGCTGTATTGGATAAACTATGAGAATTATTCACTGAATACATAGAATTTCTGTTCCACAGCATTTCACTTTCTGTATACCACATTTAGCTAAGTGGTGTCTGTATGCCTGACCAAATGAGAGCTGGCATCTGTTTTGATCCTAATCTAGCTCCTGTCTAGACTGAGACAATGAAAACAATTTACCCCATCAATCCTTTAGTGGAAAATCCATACGGAAGAAAATGGGAATAGCCGAGTAACTGTTAAATTAGTATAATCCTGTTGTCTTACTCAGACAGTTCACTGTTAGCTTTAAATAACTTTTAAAGTGAAAGGAACATTTTATATAGTTTTCTGTAGATTTGAATAAAGCTATCTGCACATCCTTTAAGTCCTTTCTGTCAGCTTTGAAGTTTATTCTCTTTGCAAATAATGGAATATGATTTTTCTAACTTTTGCATTTTGCAAGCCAAAGTCGTCTTCTACAAGCCTGTACACTGTTCTTGAACTATATTATTTTGAAATTGAAGGGGTCACTGTATATTTACTTCTTTGTAACTGAATATATGTACACCCACATACACAACACTATGCTGTATTTATTTATACAATTCATAGTGCAGCTTTACTGCCTAAAATGTGATATGCATATACAAGAGAGTTCTTGCACTGAAGCCAAGTAACAAAGTATCGTGGGAAAAGCACGTGACATGCAAAAGAAATAAATAGGATAATGATAGATGAGGTCTAGAGAAATCTCAAGGGTTTTTTGTGTTTGTATTTTTGCTGCTATGAACATTGCATTTGAAAAAAATATGGCATTAATAGATTACTATTAATAGATTAATAAACTCACTGGAGTTCAGTGTAAGAAAGATAATTAGAGAAGAAAAGGGATGACTTTGGTAAGTGAACTGAGCAAGAGGTATGAAAAAAAAGACAAGGATAAGAAGCAAAAAGCACAGAGAACACTGTTGAAATCCGGGGAGGTACTGCAGGAAAAAGTGGGAATTATAGGGACATCAGCAATCAGTGAAACATTGGAAATTGAACAGACGAGTTCACACACGAGGTTTCAAAGGCCCCTTCCAATCCATACTGTGTAGGAAGATTTAACGGTCCTCCTGTCCCAGATAGTTCTTCTTTTGAATCTGATAGAAGGCAAGGTTCAACGAAGGCAAGATACAAGCTTTTCCTCGTGGCCTGCTGAAGGCTGCTTTTCAGAGCTTTTTTGCTGTTGCAAGATTCTCAGTTTGTGCAGGTTGTCCACTCTTCTTGCCCTGTATGAAGGGTAGGGAAAAGGACTTATCTGTAACTCTCTCTAAATTATACAACGTGGACTTATTTTTACTGGAATGTGTGGAATTTTGCCTTAACAGAAATAATCTCTTTCAAATAATTTCCTGTCTAAGATTCATTAACATTGTAAACAGAATACCAAGGTCGGTTTCAATACACATAGGCATAAATAAAATAGTTAGAATATTAAAGCTCTTTGTGCACATCTTTATTATTATTATTATACAGTGAACAGTGTATCTGTGACACCATGCTAAAGGAGACTTGCCAGCACTGCCCAGCCAGGCGTGAAAGGTCGTAGGGAAGGATCAGACTGAAAGTGTAGAGAGGGGATGGAAGAGTGGAAAGAAAGAAAAGAAGAAAGACGGGGGGAAAAAAGAGGAAAGAAGACAAAATGAGAGCTTGAACAAGAAGAGGAGTCACAGAAGAAGGTGGAAGAGCATTCTGAGATGGACAAGGTTTTGGAGCTAGATTTAGTGGTGAGATGATAATGCAACCTATATCAAGAGCTTATGGTAGGGAGGGAAGAAGTTACAAGTTACGAAAAGCCAAGAAGCCGAGATGCTGAAGAGAGAACAGGTTCTATCTAATGAAGAAGGCAAACCGAGAAATTCACATGCCTTCTAATTTTGCCACCAGTAGTATCTCTCGATGATGACACTATTTTTGGGTATATTTTACTATTTGTTTTATATAAATTCTACTGCATATTTTCACTTCATTGTATATTGCTTACTAAATATATTTGCTATTATAGAACATGAAATGTGTAAACATCAAAATGAAGTTTACAAAATGCTATTTCTGAACATTTACACAAAGATTTTATACAAAATGTGTTCCAGCTATTCATGTTTTCCTTGCTGTCACATGAAATCTGAGAATGTGTGGAAAAATATATATTTTACTTTTATTAGAAGTAGTCCCAGAATTAACTTAGCAATTTAAAAATTAAAAGAGATTTCTTTTTGAAAGTGTAGAAAAATATGTTTCTTATTACTTAATAAGGTACAGGTGTTCCATACTTTGAGAATATTCACCTCCTTGGTATTTACCTTTTATCAAACAGTTAAGATTACAGTGCTCACAATTAAGAACTGTTGTCAAAGACACGTTAAGCAAAACAAAAATCTAAATAAATACTATTCAAGTAGCTTTTCACATAAACCAGACAGCAATGAAGGGGAAGGGAGGACATGTACTTTGGGTGTGATAAGTGCACATTTGTGAACAAACACTTCTTGTGTTGTTACATTTTTACGAAACACATCCGTGCACTCTTATAACTACATGCCAGCTACAGAAGTGTTTGTCTTCGTGTGTAATGCAAAGTACTACTACAAACAAGAATATCAGTAACCGTATCATTCAGTATTGAATTTTGTAATAGACAATATGCAAAGTTATGCTGCTATAAATAGTTTATATTAGTGCTGTTTATTTCTCTTCCATTACAGGAATAAGCTGTACTGATGTGTAGTACCTTCCCATAGTGACTGCATCTATGATAGGGGGTTTGTACCACTTTAACTGTGTCAGTACCTTCCTATAGATACAGCCTAAGTCTGTTTCATAAAATGAACTAAACCAGTAATACGGTTCTCATTAATCATAGTTAAATTCAAAGTAGTGATAAACTTGTAGTGAAATAATTTTGTGTCTGATTAGAAGAACAGGTAATTGCACATGTTCTGGTACACTTTGGGGACTTTTACATGCTTTGCATGAGAATGCTTGCAGTTTTTGCAAAGCGCAACATGAAGTAGAATTGAATTAAAAACATAATTGTGATGGCATTAATACTGTTGACACTGGCAGCAAAATTTGGCAGACCTTGTATTAACATTTCAACTTTACATATAACTTTAGTTTTTAGAACAGCTTGAACTGACCATTAGGGTTTTTTTGTTTGTTGTTTTTTTTTTTGTGGGTTGGAGGTTGAAATTTTTTTTTTTTTTTTAAAACATTACATTTTTACATTCCTTTTATTACAGAGACACCTGGTGGTCTTTGGGTGTATTTACAAAAATAACATTTTCCTTTTTTTGTCTGGGTTTATTTTAAAGTTTGCTTTATCATTTATAATTTATCATTTATATTTAGAACCTCCTACATTATGATACTACATTATTTGAAAATTAAATTGAGAACATTTACATGTTATCCAGTATGTACTGGATATTGATTCTCATGGTTATCATGGGTATTTTTCTTGCATCTTCCCTATCAGTCAGAGAGCTATATGGAGGAGACACTTGGGCATATTTTAGGCTAAGTGAAGTAAAAATGTATTACTTGCAAAATTTAATGTTAGAATAATCCGTATTTGGTTTTCATGTTTTCAGCTTTCAGTTTATGTGTTTTGTTTCTGAGTTGTCTGTTTTAAGAGATTGAAATGATGACCAAAAAGATACGTCAGAACCAGTTTACTGTCAAGATCGACGTGTTAGTACATAAAGGACGTGCTTTCTATGCTAGAAACACTGACAAGAACAGGACTATGCTACCACAGAAAAGTTTTAATAATACTCAATGCAGATGGCATTTTATAAATAATAGGCAATTACAGGTAATCACACAGCATAATAGGTAATTACACAGGATACTAACATTAGATCTCTTCTCACACCACGCCCAGACCCTCAGGCAGAGTCAGTCGGATCCTGGAGCAACGCCTCTGGTGTTACAGCAGCTTCCTCCAGTTTCCATCCCTGTAGTCATCCTGCCGCAGCAGCTCTTGACACCCACCCACAGCAGAGACCTGTTTGCACAGCTCCAGCGGATCCATGACCTCCTCGTAAGGCAGCTGGGCCATAAGCACGGCCGTTAGCAGCTGGAAGCAGATGGACAGGCGCTGTCATCCAGCCACGGCCTTCTTAACCAGCAGCTAGGTTTGGCTTTTAGGTAAAAAAGTCCCTACCCACTCTTTCTACATGGGCATGTACTGCAAAGTAAGTTTTAAATGCTAGGTATCTATATTTTACTCAGGGTGGGGGTGGGTGGGAGTCAAACTGAGTTTTTGCAGCTGAAATGAACACTATTCACTTCAAGGAATACAAGTAAAATAGGAACATTCTTATACAAATTTAGAATGTGGTTTTACAGCTTTTACCTTAGTGAAACAAAATTGGCATTGCAGTTATTTTTATTGGAAATTATCTTTGTGGGTTGTTTTTGTTTTGTTTTTTTTTTCATTTGGCAGTTATCGGACCTGTGCTCATGATGTCATTTGACAGTCTTTAAGGGCTAATTAATGCAGTCTCTTTATTTTTTCTTTGTTTTTTTTTTAAGTTTACAGACACTTTGAAGTTATTTTTGCAATGCTTATAACTGCACTTCCATTGAAGAGTGGTTTTCACATCTGAATTTCTGTTACGCTTAGTGCAGTGATTTTCTGTATGTTGCAACACTGATTTGATATAGTTTGAAACTCCAAGAGAATAATTCACACAAAAGAAATGTATGAAACTCTAGGGAGCTGTCCTATGCAAGATTTGTATTTAGCTTTATTATACTTTAATTTTCACTCTTCTGCTGGCTGCCAGAAAACTTGCCCATCACTCTGACTATGGGAACCAGAAAAGATTCATGGTATTTTTGGGAGATCCAGAGGAAATGTAAAGACTTATTCAACAGTATTTTCTCCCCAACTTAGCCACATCACTTTCTAGCAAAAATATTCAGCATGGGAGGAAAGAACAAGAAAACAAAAGAAAAGGCGCTTTAAATTAATGTTAGTTAACATAGCTGGTGGTGTAATTTAAGTCAAAGCATATTAGGAATGGTGTGGTCAGATAAATTTAGAAGTATTCTTGGTGTGCAGCAGATGCTGCCTAGCAAATAGGAACAGTGTAGTTTGGGTCAGGAGACAGGCAAAAAGTTGAAATGACACACAAACAAAGTTATTAGTGAATTCTTAAGGACCTGTTTCAGAGAAAATAAAACAAAAATTACTTGTATGTCTTGATTTTTAGACCTGGTCTAGAAAACTGAATGCCTGTATCTGCAAGTTTTGTTTTTCTTTAACAGAGAAAGGCGGTTGCAGCCAAAGAAATAATGCTTTTGGAATTTACATTGACTCGTTTGGCAGGAAGTTATTCTTTAACTTGACGGAACTGTGCAGAATCCAGGATCTGAGAGCAAGCTTCCATTATTGTTACTCACTTCATAAGGGAATGGCTCCCAATGATATGGAGTAAATGACTTACATGTCACATACGCTCTGAACCCACACCAGATGTAAAGTTAAACTAGAATACACTTTCCTATTAGGTTTTATCAGTTTAAAAAAAAAAAATAGCACTAGTAAGTAGAGTTATCTTTTCCATTTCAGACTTTTCAGTTATGTCAGTATTTGACATAATAGAGTTACTAAAGCATTGGTTCCTTGCCGATAAACAGTTACATAGCTTTTCTCTGTCATCCTGATGACTGCCTGATTGGGTAGTGTCATGTAAGTGATGACACTTGCATGTCAAAAAGTTGCAAATCTGCAGGTGGAGCAGGAGCCATCCTCTGAGTGCCAGAAGTCACCACCTTCCAGCCTTCATGGGAGACTCCATTTTCCAACCTGATAAGCACAGACTCTACCTGCACCTCCTTCATTATTGTTGAAGGTTCAGACTCTTGAAGCTTCAGGGTCTTGGAGAAGATCCAGTTGTTAAGGGATGTGATAAGTGACCATCACCTCCATCAGCTCCGGGCACAGGGGTTCTTCCTGCCTGGCCAGTGGAACCCTGCCCAGTGTGCCCAGACAGATGGGGAACTCCGTCCCAGACCAATGGATGTGGCTTCTGCTTTCCTGTTTGCATGTTCAACCAGCAGCAAAGCTGAACGTGTATCCCAGAGACACACACACATGCACAAACGACACTGACCTGGCTGGCTACACAGACTGCCACAAGCAAGGTGCTGCCTTCAACAGCACCTACATACAGGACTCACATAAATTATAAGTACAGACGGGCAAGTCTCCTTCCTCCTCTTTGGCTGGTAGAGATAGAAGTTCATTAATGAAAGCACACATCACTCTAGATTCAGAAGCGCGTGTACAGTCATAGATCCCTTAAGTATCAGCACAACCCCTCTGTCTGTCCAATAGCACTGTCCGGATCCCAGGTCCTCTTACCTGCTCCACAGGTCTCCTACTCGCTGGGTGGTCCAGCTCTGTGCTCACTAGCAAACATGCATGCACTCACAGAGCCATCTCACAGGCACCCCACACTCGTGGGTCGCTCCCAAATACCAGCACAGACCCTCTGCCCAAACCCAGGGCCTCCTACTCACCACCTGGTCCAGCTTGAAGTTTGCTAGTGAATTACACACACACACTCCCATGCACACCAGGTTTGGGGAAGCTGCAAACACTCCAGCGACCCCCAGCAGCTGGCACCAGGCACATGGGCTGTGGCCCACAGTCCTGCTGCAGCTACTGTCGCTGAGCCCCTCATTCGCTTTGCTCACCCCAGTCCCCCCAGTAGCTATGCCTGGGACACCCACCAGTCCCATCCCAGTGGCTGGAGCGGAGACCCCCATTCACTCCAGCTGCTGACACCACAGGCCAGGGCTGTCTGCGCCCTCAGTCTGTCTCCAGTTGCTGGCCCTGTCTGCACTCACTGGTCCTTCCCATAGCTGGCACACCAGACACAAAGTCTGCAGGACCCATAGAGATGCTCCCAAGAGCTATGGCCCCCCTCCAGCTACTGATGCTAAGACCTTTGCCTGCTCCGGTAGCTGCCAACAAACCCACTAACACCTATATCTCACCTGTATTTGTCACCTAGCCCTTACAGCACTCACACACATGAGATAGAGAGTGAGATTCCACAGAAAGATAGTTAAGAAAGGATTTAATGAAAGGATAGGACAGACTGCGGTGATCAGGCATAGAGCTTGGTCAGACAAGTGGGCTGGCCAGCCATGTTTTACATGTGACTGGTCCCTTTTATAGCCCTTTCTGTCTATTTCCCACTTTGTTCCTCCCCAGTCCCCTTCCCCTAAACATTCCTTCAAAAGTTTTGCATGGTCCCACAGGCTGCCCTCGAATATCCCAAATCCTCATGTTCCTCTTGTTTCCTACTTCTTACCAGTTACAAGGTCCGGCTGGCCCTTTCCAAAGCTGTGCCTGCAGTTTCTTGATGGCCCATCAGTTAACTACTGGAGGCTTCTGGTCCTTGGCATTGTCTCTGTTATCCCTTGTTTGTGACCACGTTTGTGTCTCTGTGGGCTCCTCTTTATGGTTTCTTGCTTTACTCATTATTGAGTAAATAATGATCAATGCATTGAAAAGGTCCTTGATCAGATGATGACCTTGATGAAGCAGGTGCTTTCACCTTCCACGTGCCCTTACACCAGTCTATTTCTCATCATCTCTGATGCTGCACAGACTGGTGACCTTTTCCTGCAGCTCCTTTCCTCGGTGACAAGATGAGCAGGCAGGCAAGGAGCCCATCTGCCTCAGCCTCAGCAAGAGGCCCCAGGCATCCCTGCAGCCACAGCTCTGCAGAGCTGCACCTGCTTTGGGACCTCACTCTGGGTCAAGGCCTCTGCTGTGCAGGGGTAGTTCCTCCAGTAGAGGTTGGGGACTGTGCCCTGTGGGACGTCACCACCACTTGCTGAGCACAGGCACGCTCTTCTCAGCAGAGCATCTAGCCCTTTCCATGTGCCCTTCTGTGCCAACTGCTGTGTCTGTTGGCTGCCTCCATGTGCAGTGCCCTGTGTCTGCAAGCATCCCTCACCAGTCACACCAGAGTGGATCTGTAACTGCTGATCATGAGGTCAAGAAGCAAATACACTAAATTTGGTGCACTGCAGATTACATAAAGATTCCAGTCGTGGCCTAGGGACAAATCAGGTAGGTGGAGAGGGTTACCTTGACTAATGCCATCAAGGGACTAAGAATTCCCTCGGGGCTAGATCATGCTCTAGCCAGCTGGCACATGATAATACATTAACAAGCAGGTAGGGCTGAGATACAGCCTTTACAGAAGAGGAGTGCTCTGTCTGGACATGCTGCAGACCATCCTTGTTTGTTTGGTTTTAGGACCTCCACGTAACGGTTTCATTAATAAAACATAGCTGCCCTCTGATGATAAAATGTACGTGTTTACCTGATTCTTTAGATGCAGAGAATATGTCAGATTTTCAAGTTTCTTGCTTCCCCCCACTCCTTGCTCCCATATAAGTAACAATATGTAGGTTCTATAAAGCAAAATTCTCAGAAAATCTTAAAGCATTTTCCTGTTTTGGAGATGGGGAAACTGAGACACACAAAAAAAAAGAAAGTGAGGTGTCTATGCACTTCAGTTTTAAGAGATAACCCAGAGTCCTATAATAAAACCACGTCAAAAAGCAAAACTAGCACCTGGAGTGCAAAATCACTAATTCTAACAAGTAGCCGTTCAGCTACATGTTTGGAAAATATACGACATTGGTCAGGGAAAGATAAATGCAAATGAGCCAAGGGTGTCTTACATAAAAGGGAGAAATCTACAAAAATGATGCCAAAGGTCTTTTCTCCTGTGATAACTACACTGCCTTGAAAATAGTCACAGCATATGTTTAGAACTTACCTATATTATATCTGACAATTAGTGACAAATACATTTGAAGTATAAAGACTGTTTTCTGGTTTGACTTCATTCCTATTTCACCTACTCTGTAACATGGACATTTTGCTTGTGAAGAGTCCAACTAATAATAATGTTATTTTATATAATTTTCATCTGAAGAAATTACTTATGCCTGTGCAGTCAAGGAGACAGCTTTAGTAGCTAAGTAGCTAGTAGAATTTTCTAATTATTCAAGTGTTAAATA